TGTATGTATGTATAAAACTGTTTCTTTCCATTAAACTTGTAATGACGCAGCCCCACTGAAAAATCCGGAAAGACGATCGAATTATTTCTGTTCTCAGTCGAAGTGATTTTGCGTCTCAAGACCCGAAGGTTGAAACTGTGGCGAATGAAATCACCCGTTAAGAAGCCAAAAATCTAAAGGCGCTTTTCTTCTCTATTTGTCGATCTGGGCGTCAGCATGTAGGTACGTGCATAGATACACGAATAGGATACTCAAAGAAGAGTCTTTGCAACTCTAAAGAAACTCTTTTATTTTTCATTATTCTTCTCGGTTGTTTCGGTGAAGACACTCACTGGAAGAATTTGGAAATAATTGGAACAATGAAAGAATTCAGTTCCCGGATACTTTCCTTACTTTCTTTAAAATCATAGATTTCTTATAGATTTCATATTTTTGGTACTTCGTCATTTTTGCTCTTTATAGTATAATGGTAATAGTGACATTAGCCGTTTCCCTACAAGGAAACATTCAGCATTGATTGAATGAAGTGTTATTTGTTTTAAGCTTTTCTTCACTCCGTAGACATCGGTTGAGATCAAAGTGTAGTGTATGTTTTCCCCATTTCAATTGATGACAGTAATATTAGCAGTTTCTTTAGAAGGAAACATTCGGCATTCATTAAGTGAAGTGTTACTTGTGCTACACTTTTCTTCACTCCGCAGACATCGGCTTAGATCAAAGTGTAGTATATGTTTTCCCATTTCAATTGATGACAGTAATATTAGCAGTTTCTTTAGAAGGAAACATTCGGCATTCATTAAGTGAAGTGTTACTTGTGCTACACTTTTCTTCACTCCGTAGACATCGGCTTAGATCAAAGTGTAGTATATGTTTTCCCCATTTCAATTGATGACAGTAATATTAGCAGTTTCTTTAGAAGGAAACATTCGGCATTCATTAAGTGAAGTGTTACTTGTGCTACACTTTTCTTCACTCCCGTAGACATCGGCTTAGATCAAAGTGTAGTATATGTTTTCCCCATTTCAATTGATGACAGTAATATTAGCAGTTTCTTTAGAAGTAAACATTCGGCATTCATTAAGTGAAGTGTTACTTGTTCTACACTTTTCTTCACTCCGTAGACATCGGCTTAGATCAAAGTGTAGTATATATGTTTTCCCTCATTTCAATTGATGACAGTAATATTAGCAGTTTCTTTAGAAGGAAACATTCGGCATTCATTAAGTGAAGTGTTACTTGTGCTACACTTTTCTTCACTCCGTAGACATCGGCTTAGATTAAAGTGTAGTATATGTTTTCCTCATTTCAATTGATGACAGTAATATTAGCAGTTTCTTTAGAAGGAAACATTCGGCATTCATTAAGTGAAGTGTTACTTGTGCTACACCTTTCTTCACTCCGTAGACATCGGCTTAGATCAAAGTGTAGTGTATGTTTTCCCCATTTCAATTGATGACAGTAATATTAGCAGTTTCTTTAGAAGGAAACATTCGGCATTCATTAAGTGAAGTGTTACTTGTGCTACACTTTTCTTCACTCCGTAGACATCGGCTTAGATCAAAGTGTAGTATATGTTTTCCCCATTTCAATTGATGACAGTAATATTAGCAGTTTCTTTAGAAGGAAACATTCGGCATTCATTAAGTGAAGTGTTACTTGTGCTACACTTTTCTTCACTCCGTAGACATCGGCTTAGATCAAAGTGTAGTATATGTTTTCCCCATTTCAATTGATGACAGTAATATTAGCAGTTTCTTTAGAAGGAAACATTCGGCATTCATTAAGTGAAGTGTTACTTGTGCTACACTTTTCTTCACTCCGTAGACATCGGCTTAGATCAAAGTGTAGTATATGTTTTCCTCATTTCAATTGATGAAAGTAATATTAGCAGTTTCTTTAGAAGGAAAAATTCGGCATTCATTAAGTGAAGTGTTACTTGTGCTACACTTTTCTTCACCCGTAGACATCGGCTTAGATTAAAGTGTAGTATATGTTTTCCTCATTTCAATTGATGACAGTAATATTAGCAGTTTCTTTAGAAGGAAACATTCGGCATTCATTAAGTGAAGTGTTACTTGTGCTACACCTTCTTCACTCCGTAGACATCGGCTTAGATCAAAGTGTAGTATATATTTTCCCCATTTCAATTGATGACAGTAATATTAGCAGTTTCTTTAGAAGGAAACATTCGGCATTCATTAAGTGAAGTGTTACTTGTGCTACACTTTTCTTCACTCCGTAGACATCGGCTTAGATCAAAGTGTAGTATATGTTTTCCCCATTTCAATTGATGACAGTAATATTAGCAGTTTCTTTAGAAGGAAACATTCGGCATTCATTAAGTGAAGTGTTACTTGTGCTACACTTTTCTTCACTCCGTAGACATCGGCTTAGATCAAAGTGTAGTATATGTTTTCCCCATTTCAATTGATGACAGTAATATTAGCAGTTTCTTTAGAAGTAAACATTCGGCATTCATTAAGTGAAGTGTTACTTGTTC